GTGCCACTGCGTTCCAGCCTGGTCAACAGAGCAAGACTGTGTCTCAAAAATAACCACAAAACAAACAAAAATACTTAATAAAGTGAACAATTCCAAACAACCAGAATGTGTGATTATCATCATTATTTTGGAGGTACTTAGGCTGTCATTGTTACAGAAATATTTGGGAAAGGTTTACTTGAAGGAGATGTAGTGTTGTTACTGAGGAACAGAGAAGTTGAAGTGTTCGTCTGTCAAGCCCAGTTCCTATCCACCTTCTTGGTGCAAAAAGCTGCCAAATACCTCATATATGTATAAGGTGGGTAGTGTTTGGAAAGGAAGATTGGGAGATGCCCTTTAAAAGTGGTATAGACAAAGTGCAGACCTGCAGTTTTTACATTCCACAACTCTGAGTTCTTATCTTTTCTGGGACTTAAAGATTTAGCATGATTGTCAAGGCACATCGGATGGGTAACCAGCCAGCAGCTCAGATGCTTGCAGATGCTGCTGTCAGTTTGCATCATCCTTTCACAGGGAGATGGCGCCCTCACCCCTTCTCCCTCCTCTCTGCGCCTTGGTGGTGGTGGTGGAGTGGGTGTGTTGGGAATCTCCCTGTGAAAGGACGTGGTGAAGACTGACAGAGTCTGAGGTTGGGCCTCAGAAGGAGGGCAGTAGATAGGACTCTTGACCAAGTTGTCAAGGACCTGCAGTTTCTCATTTGTGCTATCCAAACCCCCTTCTCAGTAAATTTCAGCATTTTCTCCTCCCATCCTTGTGACCTGGTGTGGAAGTGGAGAGGCGTGGTAGGTAAGACAACTACCTTGGCATGTTCTGGCATCCTCAGACAGGCCTAGGATTGAGCCCGACCTCTGCCAGCTACCACTTGTAGCTGTTTGACCTGGTTTAAGTTATTTATCCCCACTGAGACTTACTGCACCTCTAAATGGGGCATAATAATATATCTACTAAATAGTGTTTCCAAGAATTAGATTAAATAATATATTTAAAATGTCTCATGAAAACATACACAGAACAAAAACTAACAAAAATGTACTTTCCATTTCCTTCTTTTTGATTTATAACAATTTATTAACAATGACTCTGACTTCCTTCTATATCACACTATCCTTATCGATAAAAAAGGGTAAACTAAATGACTTATAATTCCTGCACACTAGTAAAGGCTGAAAATTCTTCCACTTCCAGTGTTATAACCAAGAAATAAATGAGGTTGCTCTGTGCATTCTAAGGTACATGAGATAAAATTGCACAGAGAGATTAAAAGGGAGAATTTGATCTAGGTATTATTGGACAAGTAAAGTGTTAATAAGCAAATAGGGATTGGCACAGTGAGGAAAGACGCACAGAGCCTGATGCTGTTAGGTTCAACAAAAGCAATTTGGATAAACGGATTCCTGCTCAGATAATAGAGCTTCTCCCAGAACTATGTAATTTAGAAGAGGGCAACTCAAAGGAAGCATGAGCATCTCTCTTGGGGAGTAGGTGCTTCTCCCTGCCTTCCAAAGCACACAGGCAGGAGTGCAGCAGAACTTGCAGGAGGCTACAGTTCCATACTGGACACTCATCTGCATGAGTGCAAGGACTCTCTCTGTTTTGCTGCCAGTTGTGCTTACTGAATGTTGAACTTTGGATGAATAAATGAGTATCACTGATGCACTTCAAGTATTAATGTCTGAGTGTAGGGTAAAATCCAGGACAAGAGAACCTAGTGATCTTTTATCTTTTTAGAATAGCAATTCTCCTGGAACACTTCCTGAAGACACCTCATAGCACTTTTGCAAATGCTGATAGTTTATTTAAGCTTGTAGACAGCTTTTTCTTGCCTGTCGTACAGCTGTGAGTGTGGGAGCACAATTCTCTGGGGACCTGGGCATATGTTCTCTCCTGGAGAAAATCTGGGAGAGAGCCCCAAAGAACACATTGTACCCCTCTCTCTGCCAAGAAAAGAAAATCCTGCCTGAAATGCACCCTCGGCCAATGAGAAAGTATGAGCTGGAAATAGAGCTTTAGAAACTTAACTGTGCATTAGAATGAAGAGTGAGTTGGTGGATGAGGTGGAAATTCTGGGTTCCATTTTTGATCTTCCACCGTAATGATATGTCCCACATACTACAGAGTGTGGTAAACTCTCTGGACTTCAGTTCCTCCCCCATAAATGAGGAGATTAGCCAAAGACATGTCAATGTCAAGATACCTTCCAGCCTGATGCTCGCAATTTTATTGGCACTTCCTAGAATTGTAAAGCTGGAAAAATATTCAGATTTTTCTAATTCAGCTTTTTTTATTTCATAGATGAGAAAACTGAGTTGTAGAGAGGTGAAGTTATTTGTCAAAAGCCACCAAACCAAGTAGAAGCCAAGCTAAGGTTAGGACCAGTATCCTCAGAACACCAGTCCAAAGGCTCTTCATCTGTTGAGTCACGGTCCACCTTAAATTCTGATGCAAAGCCTGGACCTGCTGGGAGTGGAGAAGGGATGGCAGAAGCAAATGCATCCCAAGTAAATCCATAAAATTTGCAAACTATTGTCAGGGTTGTGTGTTAAGGGGGCGGGGTGGGGTGGGGTACGGGGAGGCAGGTCTTAGATTTCGGGCTAAAAACCCTATGTAACACTTTATTTCTGAAAGTCGGGGTTGGAACCAAATATCTAAGGATTTTTTTTTTTTTTTTTTAAACAGGGTCTGGCTCTGTCCCCCATGCTGGAGTGCTCGGCTCACTGCAGCCTCAACCTCCCGGGCTCCTGAGTAGCTGGGACCACAGGCACGTGCCACCACGCCCAGCTAATTGTTTTTGTAGTTTTTTGGTAAAGAAGGGGTTTCTCCATGTTGTCCAGGCTGGTCTCGAATTCCTGGGCTCAAGGGATCCGCTTGCCTTGGTCTTCCAAAGTGCTAGGATTACATGCATGAGCCACTGCACCTGGCTGGAATGTTTTTACATGTGATGGGAAGTGTGCCTCTGGCTTCTTTGGTTTAATAGCTTCATTTGTGCAAGAAGCATCAAAACACATTGGACCAAATTTAGGTTTATATCTGGCCTCCAAATAAGTCTTACTCACGTGTTTTGTTGATGGCAGTTTCTGATTTGTAAAAAGCCAGTTCCCCTTTTAAATGTTATAGCTATTGTTCCTCTTACAAATACTTCTGCTAAATTCGGTGCTCCACATTCGTCAACCATAGTCAGATAACACAACAAGGGGCTGGCTAAAACAGAAAAGGTTTTCTCATTAAGTGAATCTGAAGGAGGCCTCTACTAATTAGTTATTGAATTGGATCTTTGGGGTAGGTACATTAAAATGACCAGTTCTTCTTGAAAATATATAGCATGTAGTCCTGGACCGCAGCCCAGATCTATTGATTCAGAATCTTTAGGAAGTAAGGCCAAAGAATCTGTGTTGTTACAAACTCTCCAAAACCTCTTATGCACACTCACATTTGAAAACACCCATTCTCAATACTTGCCCAAATATTTTCAGTCTTTAACAAAACTGACCTAATGATAATATTATCCTAAATGATTCTTTGGTCTTTAAAATGGTGAGGTAATGCAGGATTCAGACAATAATATAGGTATGGAAAACATGCCATTTAATTTTTCAAAGAAAATGTTTTTTTCTCTCCACTTAAATACAAGGAGATGAGTGGCTGTGGCCTGACTCATGCCATGGTGGACATGGTGTAGGGTATCAACATTTCTTCTTGGTGGCCCTCATTTTCCAGATGATTCCTTAGCTGAGTTTTCATTTTTTTTTTTTTGACAGAGTCTCACTCTGTTGCCCAGGCTGGAATGCAGTGGTGCAATCTCGGCTCACTGCAACCACCGTTTCCTGGGTTCAAGTGATTCTCCTGCCTCAGCCTCTCGAGTAGCTGGGACTACAGGTGCTTGCCACCACGCCCAGCTAATTTTTTGTATTTTTAGTAGAGGCGGGCGTTTCCCTGTGTTAGCCAGGATTGTCTCGATCTCCTGACCTTGTGGTCCACCTGCCTCGGCCTCCCAAAGTGCTGGGATTGAGTTCTTGTTTTAATATTCACAGTTGCATGCATTTCTGCCATTGAAGAACTACCCCTCTAGTTCTGCTTGACTTTATTGAAATACAGAAATATCAAGTGTATTATTCAAAAAAAAATACTTCAGCAGATAGTAAATGTAAAACTTACATCTCCTCTTAGCATCAAACAAGCTAACATACACTCTCATATGCTGGCAGAACAAAAACTCATCTAAGAATGACAAAGTCTGACATTTTCTAACTTTAAAACACCTTGCTCTATTTCTGAACTAAGGTTTCTCTGGTTTTCAAAGAGGCTTCATAGAACTCCTGGGGATATTAATTCAGCTACTTTTCACCCCCTCTGTCTTCAGGTTTGGGATTCTTGAGTGCTTCTGTGGGCTTGCATTTCTTGTGTGTCTGTGTAGCCACTCCTGGGTTCAGATCCCTCTATTCCAGTAGTGTGGTCAGAGCAAGATAAGTCTACTCCAGCCCTCAGAGCCTCATTTCAAGGGCAATAGAGGGCATTTGGAAACTTCTCTTAAGTAAGAGTATAGGGTATCCAAACTGACAAGGGACTCAGTGAAAATGCCGTTGCCCTCTGCTACCCGATGTGTGGCCCGTAGAATGTGCACGACTTTGCAGTCATGGAAGCACGTACTTCATTAAAATTGGGCTGGTTACTTTTTTCCCCCACAGAGACCATGTCCTGACTGCAGTTTATTAAAACTACCTAGGCCGTGTACCATTATTCTTCCTGCTTGTATTCATGAATGGCCTGTTCGCAATAGGAACATCCAGGTAGAGATCAATAATCAGTCTCTTAGTTAGGGCAGAGAGAGGGAAAAAAAAGAAACCCCACTGGTGCACTGCATTCAGCTGTGTTTAAGAGGTCTTATCATTAAAGCAGCAGCAGGCATTTATAAACCAAGGTTGCCGGCAGTGCTGGGCAGACAGGATTAGAATAATCATCCATCAGGCTCTGTTTCATGAATGTTTTCCTTTGACTTTTGGCAGGATCTCCAACCTGAGCATATGCCAGCTGACATGGGAACACTGAGGCCAGCAATTTAAGGATTTCACATTTGCTTGCAGTGGTAAGATTTAAATATATAACAACGAAGGGCATTAAATATTACTGGGTTCTGGCTTTTTCCATTAGATGCGAAAGTGAGGTTGTTTAGGTGTATCTTTTTTGATCAGTAAAGATCTCTACTTGCAAAACCAATGCAAACACAAGATAAATCCATAATCCATAAATATTGAACATAGCGTTTGTTGGTATGAGTGAAAATAGGAAAACTAATAATTAGATTTTTTAAGTGTCTGCATCATTGGACTAAGTGGAGGAAATGGTTTCCATGTTGAACAACGAAACTATGTGTATTCAGAAGAGATATGATTATACAGCACAAAGGGACACAGAGTTAAAGATCAATGGGGAGAAAGAAAGGGAAAGTGACTCTGTTTTCAATTCTGCATGGGGCAGTCATACCCTTAACATGGGTCCAGATATTTGGTTTCTAAAACAACCACATTTGCAGTTAGCTAGGAGATTATTTAAAAATGAAGATTCTGTAAGCCGATGACAGTGTACCTCCACACACTGTACACTTGCTGCCATCCGAGACATCTGTACGCCATTACTTAAAAAGAGAGTGATAATGGTGACTGTTGACAGACGGATGGCAAATTGTGTTACTGGAAGATCATTTTGAAAAGGGAAGTCTCCCACTCCTCTGTGTGTATGTGCATTTATATATATGTGTGGACAAACACACATATACTCTCTCCCTTAAATCTGAGGCCAAAATGTAATACTGAAAAAAGTAATTAAAATTTACATTCTTAATAAAAGAGAGCACCATCTTTGGACACATTTTCAATATAAAGTAGAAACTGCACCATGATAGGGTTAAATAGTCTAACAAGATCATCTAGGCCTCGGTGGATTCTTTGGACCCTGTGTTGTTTAATTTAATAGGTTAAATTAAAACATAATACACATTCCATTACCATCTTCCTTTAAGCCAGATCTTCATGGAGTAAACCTATATTTGGCACATTCAATTCTTTGAGAGCTACCATTTTAATATATTTTCTTCCTTTCTGTCTTTCTTTTTTTCTTTTTCTTTTTTTTTTTTTGAGACAGAGTCTTGCTCTGTCAGCCAGGCTGGAGTGCAGAGACATAATTACAGTTCACTGAAGGCTTGAACTCCTAGACTCAAAGGATCCTCCCACCTCAGCCTCCTGAGTAGCTAGGACTACAGGCAAACACCACTGTGCCATCCTAATTAAAAAAAATTATAGAGATAGGGTATCACTGTGTTGCCCATGCTGGTCTTGAACTCCTGGCCTCAAGTGATCTTCTTGCCTTGGTCTCCCAAAGTGCTGGGATTACAGGGGTGAGCCACTGCATTCAGCCACTAATAAAGTTTCTATATATTTCTTAGTCCCAATTTTCATGTGGTCTTATTGCAGATCCATGGTGCATTGAGTAAAATGTGACTTTGAGAAGCCTGATTTGCTCATTCTTGTGTGCTGACCATGGTGTTACATCTGTGAATTTCTGAAGGATATATTTTAGAAATTCAGCATTCTTATTTAGTCCTCTTAGTATAGTCTTTTCAAATTGCCTCGCTGCTTTATTCAGTCATATTATTGCAGTAACTTTTAGTTTAACAGCTTGTATTCTCAAAATCTATTTATGGAACAATGGAAGAATGATTGTAAAATAGCTTGGAAGATGCATTACTTAAACTGATACCTGGAAGTGATGATATAACTTCACACTTTTATGCATATAAAAGTAAATGAATGTATCATTATGGTTTATTTTATCTGAATATTACATTCCCCTTCAAAATTAAATAACTTTGCACTTGAGTTTCATGTTTTATTTCATGATTTAGAAGTGCTTTCTAGGAACTACCACCAAAGCCTAACTTCCATACGTAAGTCATGGTTTCCTCATATGTGCATGGAGTTTAAGATAACATCCTTATTAGAGTCATTAAATCTTTGATGTCAGAAGGGGCTGAGTTAAACTGAACAGGGCTTTTAAAAATCCCCAAAGTTGAGCAATGTGAGGAGGAAAACAAAGTAAGAGAAATACGCATATGATTGGCCTTAATGATATTATAAGCCTGTAAGAAAGTGGCCTACAGCTCTCATCTGGACCACAGAATTCATCATTTCATCTGAACTGTGTGTATCAAATTGTGCTTTTTGTTATCAAAAGTGAAAGCCTGCTAAAAAAAAAAAAAAAAAAAAATCCAATAGACAATGCTAAATTGAGTTGCATCATTTAGAAAGTGGGAAGATTTTCGTAGAACTAGCCTTGGAGCTTCTTGTCTCTGTAGAGAACCAAGGACCATACAGAATACTGTCCCACTTCTGCATATGAGGACACTGTTGAACAGATAGACTTGTTTGAGAAATAATATAATCATGTAGAGTGACAGAGTAGAAAAGCACTAATGTAGACACCAATGTACCACAATCTTACCACAATGTACCACAGCAAAAACCATACCTGATTTTGCTGGATAAGATTTTTTTTCTTTTGTCTCTAAGATTTTAAATAGCCTCTAAATGTCAGTTCTTAGTTTTTAATTTGTAAAAGGGGTTTACTACTTACTCTATTCTCTGCAGACTTAGCTGGAGATAAAATAATAAGTAAAAAATACTTTGTGGAACTTAAAATCACTACACAGAATTTAGTATTGCTAGAAAGTTGATTCCTTGTTAATAGCGCTTGTCTGATTTGAACATTAGGTCAGAAAAGCATCTTCATCGATCTGGTCTATGTTTTCACACTGAATGAAGGCTTACAGTTGCTCTGAGCTCTAATACACTTGACTGTTCTTATTAAATTATGATAACAAAATGCAATCATTATAACTTTCCCTGAATTGTATGTGTATCTATTTTTAGTGTTGTTGATGCACTGATCCGAAATTTCAGTGTTCTAAAATTACTCCAAATGAGAGCATGGGAGAGTACAGAGGAAATGTTTACGATACAATCCCTGTCAGTAAGGGGAGTGGAAGGGGTCTCTGGGGCTTGTCCTTGTGGTAAAGCCGTCTTTCTCAGACCTCCTTTCCTCTAATTCTTTTCAGATGTAGACTTCCTACCATAGCAAACCCTGTGTATCTTCCTGCCCTTTCTCCTCCTGTCTACCCGCTCCTGTCTCCTTTCTCCTCTCCTTCACACCTCAGAAAGTCCTTTGATTGTTTACAATCCAGGTTTTTTTTAGCTATTGACCCACAGCCTTCTGCTTCCATAAATCCTGCTTTAAGTGTTTGATCTGTAAGACAAATATACCCCCATAGCCCTGAGTTTACTCTCTGACTCTGTTTCATTACAAATGTTGTAGACAATCAATATGAGTTAGGGGTGGGGGGAAATGTCTTAGGTCAACAAACACAATTTGCTGGAACATACCATAATCTTTGCCCTTGCAAAGAACTGTTGATCACATGTCCTTTAAGAATAAAGCCAAGTTGTTGGAAAATGTAACTTAAATTAAATACACAGGAAATTCCAACAATTACACATGACATAAAAAATCTTTCAGAGCTCCCAGTTCATGTACTAATGTTAGAAGCAATCAAGGACTATGAATAATGGATGAAGTTAAACATAGTGGCCCAAATTTTTATCCAGAGTGCTAGAGAAGAACGTTAACATAATGGATGTGGGTCAAAGAAATTGCCTGACATATGAAATACCAACCAAGAGTATCATCCATTTATTTTTTATTTAGGAATAAAGTTTGCACACCATGCCAAGGTCACCATTGTGGAGATACTTACTTGTGTGCACTATGGTCCTCCCTAATGATAACGATATTCCTTCCCAGTCCCAAGACCCCCAGTCACATGGCAGCATTGTTTGTACCTTCTGTGACAATTAAAATCCACCCTCATTTCTACCAATTTGTTATCCCAAGAGAACAAAAGTAACTAATAGCTCCTTCAAGCCTGGGTATGGTCTATTTTGTCCTCATGTTAGAACTTAATTTAAACCTTCCTTGGTCACAAAATTCTGAGACTAATCTGGGAAAGTAACCAAAGAGAATTAAGATGAGAATAAGGTTAAGTATGGGAAATGTTGTCCTAAAATACTCCACCCAAATTTCCATGTGTTTATAACTGACCCAATTAGCTTGAAAATTAGTTTGAAATCATCATAGCAGATCATAGTACTAATAACTCAATCAAACAGTGTACTCACAATCTGGCAGATCTGGCTACATCTATTATTTCTAGCATTCCCAACTCAAAAGGTAATTTCTCTTTTCAATCACTGACCTCTGTTTCTCCCCAAAGCCAATGTGGAGGTAAGATATAATCAGCAAAGAGAGCTCCTTAGGACCCTTCCCAGGAATGGGATCAGGACATTATGGAATTTGACAGAGATTCTAGTAGGGTCTCTCAAATCTCAGCTATTTTTATTAGTATTTTGTGAAGCTCCAGAAAACTGCAAGTGTTTTCTGTTCTAGTCACCCCTTATTACTTTCCAGCTGATCAAAAAAACCCATGACTAACAACAGGAACCCAAGAACCGCCATAACTGCAATGGTCCCATCTATCACTCAGACATTTTTTGTGTAATAAAGTCAAAAGCAAATTTTCTTCTTTTATTTTCAAGTTTTGCATCTGACAAAATGTCATTGGAGCTCAGTGACTTATGAAAAATTGGGACAGATTGAGAGCCTCTGATAAAAGCAATCTTTGTATCACTAAAAGATTCTGCTAAATTGAGGGGAAAGGGGACTTATAGTTCTTAATAATGTGTTTTATCAACCACCTGCAAAAATTTTTAATTAAATATCTAAAGATACATTATAAGATATTATTGTAAAAGACACAAACATGATTCCAGAAACATTTTAAAAGCTTGAATATTTAATATTTATTTGTTTTAGAGATAGAGGGAAAGAAGAGATGAGAAACATATATTGTATAATCATATTATGATTTCATCCTCATATCAGACAAGAAGATATACTCTGCCATACCATCCCATGATTATGTACTTTACCTTTTAGACTCTATCTGCTTATACTGTGTGTGTGTGTGTGTGTGTGTGT